TTCAAACGATATCTGTTTCACATTCCTACCCTCTTCCACAGGGAATTTACCTTGGTGCCAACGCTTGGGGAAATAACCACATTTTTAAAGCCTTTCTAAAGGCCAGCAGGATCAGGGTCAGCTGAACATTGGGAGGGGGGCAGGGAATCATTCCAAAGGCAAGCACCACTACTGAAAACACATGCCATATGGGTTCCATCAGATGGCACTGTTTCAAGGAGAGACAGGCGGATGTCCTTAGAAATTGGTAGTTGCACAAATCACTTGGTCTTGTGCCGTGTAGAACTTTATAGATGATAACTAGCACCATGAATTGCAGCCAAACGCTGATAGGAAGACAGTGTAGCTCCCAAATAGTGATGTTATATGGCCTACTGTGGTGTACCAATAACTATCTGTGCCACTACATTCTGGACCAATCCTAGCTTCTGGATGGTCTTCAAGAAGAGTGTTGCAACAGTCGAATCGAGAGGTGATTAGGGCATGTGTGACAGTGAGCAGAGCCTCCTGATCTAGGAATGGGTACAGTTGGCACACAAGACAAAGTTGTGCAAAAACTCTCCTGGCCACAGCTGCCACCTGCTCCTCAAGCAGGAGCTGTGAGTCCTGGATAATCCCCAGGTTGTGCACTAGGTCTCAGCAAGGAAGTGCAACCCATCCAGAGCCAAAAATAGAAAATCTCCAGTTCCAAGAGGTCCAAAAACCACAACCACTTGGTCTTGGTAGGGTTCAGCTGAAGCTGTTCTTCCCTGTCCAGACCCTCATAGCCTCCAGATACTGGGATAGAACCTCAGCAGCTTCATTTGTAGAGCAGGGGCAGAGATGGACAATTGAGAATCATCAGCATATTGATGCTGCTGTACTTCAATGGATTATCTCCCCTAGTGGTTTCATGTAGATTGTTCAAAAAAAGTGGGGAGAGGGTACAGCCCAGAAGAACACCAAAAAGCAAGGGTCAAGAGCTAGATAATTCTCCTCCCAACACTGAGTGGACCTGGCCTGCTTTCATATTAATGTGCATACTTTTTAACAAATCCATAAAAAATTCTAAAAGTAAAAAAATACACTGCATTAAGATAGTCACTGAGGGTTTCCTTTAAAAAAAAAAAACATTTAATATGCCAAGTAAGAGTTTTTCTTTTAAAAGACAAATGAACTTTCCTTTCAGATCAGAGGGAGACTTCTGTTTTCAGAGGCAGAAATTAGAAGTCCTTCTACCACCTAATCTCAAAAAGCTACAAAGGTGGGCATGGTTTTCTCACTACTGTATTTTTTCCCCCTCTCTTTTTTCATGAAAACCACTGCTTCCTCTGTCTGGACAATACAATGGAGAACATAGTCCAGATATCCTAACTTGTTTTTTTTTATCTACAATGCTGATAATTTCTTGTTTTCTGAAATTCTCCTAAGCAAGCACAAAGGAGAAGCTACAGTCTTTAGAGTTCAGCTCAGCAACATGTCACTCCATTTGCAATATTTTCAAATAAATTCAGTCAATACATATATGGTATTGCTGGAATAAGCTATATGTTCAATCTCATTCACCAAACATACCTTTATGATCAAATCATGTCATATATATGTTATGATTTTATATATAAAACCAAGTTATTTTATAGTGCAACAAATAGATTTATATCTTAAATACACATTCAATTTTTCCAACACTTCTGTCTTTTTAATATAAATATAAAGGAATTTCATATTTCTACTCCTAGATATATTACAGCCCCTTCCCTAAACACACACAGTGACAGCAAGGCATTCTAGGTGTTAGGAGCAGTTATTGATCTATAGCAGTGATGGCGAATCTTTTGGGCTCGACGTGTCAAAAATTCGGAAAATGCCTAACTTGACTCTGCTGGTGTGTCACTCCCCCACCCTGAACAAAAGAGAAACAATTCTTTACACATTCATTTATTTTAAAAAAAATACAGTCCAATCATT